GGCGCGGACGGCGCCGACAGGGGGAGAGGGGGGTGAGGGGGGGGTTGGGAGGGGAGAGAGGGAGAGGGGTCGAAGGGGAATGCGGTAACATCGAGGGAGGGCGGGGTGAGGGGGCGAATGGGGGTCATGGGTGAAGGGATGAGAAAGGGAAGAGACGGTCGGAGAGAGAATTGCGACAGCGCGAGGATGTTTAAATGCAGGTCGGTTAGGAGGGGGGGTGGGGGGAGGAGGGGAAGGGTGATCTGCGAACTATAGCGTCAGGTTTTGAGAAGCCTCGGTGGAATCAAACTTCAAGGGTAGTTTCCAAGCGATCATAGAGACACCCGGAAGCATTGCGCATGGACTAGCAGCGTCAGAGGCATGGCATGGCGAGGCTATTGAAAAGGAGAACGCGTCACGCCTCGGATATTCCAATAGCATATCATGCGTGGACCTGGTGGAAATCGGCGATGTTTAAGAGACATCGAGACTAGCTGATGAAGGATGATCGAATCAGTCCAAGAGCAGTCCAATTAAAGCGCTAGCGATCCGAACCGCTATGCCGTTGGATGATAGGAATCGGACCCTAGAGCAACCTATGGCGTCCGAGCGGTAGGCAGGACAAGAGTAATGCGCCAACACTAAAGTAGGTTTACGGGGAGCGTCACGGCTTGTTGACGAACTCGGTCGTAACGCAGTGTGGGCCAACAGACGAGAGAGAGGTGAAGATGATGCGGATCGTAAACCTCCGAATAACTGCGGCTCAAAGTGTTTGAGACGTCTCAAGAAAACTCTGGGTCGCATGCCGCTGGCCAAAGTGTCGACTGCAGATACCATGCGTACGAAAGCGATCAGGAATCAGCCGGCGGAATGGAGGTCATGTTTAGGAGCCAGTGCTGTTTGAAGGGTCTTAGATCTCGCCTGTCGAACGAAAACCCTAATTGTAGTCCATGCCGAACCCTTATTCTGACGACGTCACGCCGCTTACCACATGTTGTCCGTTGAGAAGCTCCTTTGCGACGATCGACGCGAGGCGGCCCAGCATGTGGTGGCGCGCATCCACCACCACCGTCTGTTTGATAATTCCGCTGCCGGAAACCATGGCGGCTAACTCGGTGAGGGGAGGGGAAGAAAAGATGGAGTGAAAAGAGGAGGCAGGGATAGGGGAGGGTTGCCTTAGAGAGCGCGAAAGGAGGGAAAAAGGGGGCGGGGAACCGCGGGGGGGGGGGGGGGGGGTGGGGGGGGGTGTGGGGAAGAGAGGCAGAATGAGGATGCGGGAAGTGGTTTGCGGGGATGGCGCGGGGAGACATGGTCGAGTATCCTTTATAAGGATGGACGCATTTCCGTTTCCAGGCATAATCATATATTGTTGGGCTTAGTTTGGTATATTTGTGGACTAATCGATAGCTATAGCGAGACACCATTACGTGAGGCAATTCCAGCGGCAACTCTCACAGTACAGTAATTGAAAAGTGAGTCAACCTTTGTGTGGGGCAACCATTGTGGGAGCTTTTGGTGGGACGGATCTGGTCTGGGATCGTGGTTTGAGAGTGGTGAATCAGCATGTGCTGGCATTGCTTTGTTCCAGCCAGCTACTCACGTGCCGACACATCTTCGGGCTTTCATTCCGCATTGGTTCACGCATCCTAGCCGACGTGGCAAAATATCATTCGGTGCTCCTTTGGGGCATTCGAGGCATTTCATTGCTGCACTTTCCATTGGTCAGCAATCCCAGGAAAGCATCATGAACTTTAAGGGAGAGCTCAGCTCATTGGTGGGTGCATAAATAATCAGGATGGAGCCGCGCGCGAATCACGAATCGCGATGACGGTGCGCTCCAACTTTTCAGCAGTTTTCCACTTCTTCCTCCATTCTGAATGCTGATCTCTCTGAACCCAGACTAGAGTCCAGTCCCCCGACCCGTCTCGACGTTATACGTCTACGTGTTTCTTACTGTACTGACAACTAACCCCTGCCTCACGCCCACAGCAGTCGAGCAAACCCGCCCACCCACCCCCCGCGAACGTTTATATCTATGATTCCGTTTCTGAGTATGATTGAGGAGGACATTCAGATTCATTGCATTCGCTCTCGTGTTCGCTTCGAGGGAGAAAGTAGACAGGGAGGGATTAGAGAGCTTAAATTGCGGATTGCTTGCTGCTAACTTAGACTATCTCGGCCCCTTCTGGCTGCAGAAATACTCGCACCGTTCAGACTCGTTCTCGTGTGTGATTCAAAGATATAACCCTCTTCGAGATTACAAACACTTCACCACGGAATGGCTGCGATTGCGCAATTAGCGGCGGGAAGTGCGGTCACGACGATGCGATACACGAGTTCATCGAGCAGCCTGTTCGATAAGAGCAAATTGCCACTGCTTACATCGGGACATCGTGCGAGGAGCAAGGCGAGCAATCGTCGTCGCGTGCCGTTGTCACAGCGCATCACCAGCAAGATGGTTATTCCAGGTCCGTAATCTTGCGGGTTCACTCTTCACTATACCCAATTTCCCTAACTCCATGCCCACCACTCTTCCCTCGTCACTCATCACTCACCCCGCTTGCGACTTTTAACCACCTGTCCTTCATGCGCTCCCCCTCGCCCGCTGCGCTCCTCGTCGCGTCGCGCTGCTCTTAACGGAGCAGGGTTCGGCGAGTCGCCCGAGGCAAGGTCCGCGGGGGCGCTGCACAACTTCTTCACCTACATCGCCGTGCGCATCGTGCTCTCGCAGCTGCAGGTGCGCGCGCGGGGAGGAACCGCGAGAGAACTGTGTGGGGGGGAGCGAGAGTGGGAGGGGGGGGGGGGGAGAGGAGGGAGAGGAGGAGGGGAGAAGGGAGGACACCGAGATGTGAACCACAAACTGCGGAGGAATGGGTTTCGGGGCTAGCAGAGGGCTGTGAGCTTTTGCGGGCTTGATTTGCGGTTTCTGGTAAGCTATGAACCTGGATCCCATGCGTGAGTTCCTTTTGACCTTGCTTTTGATCTTGCTTTTGATCTTGCTTTTGATCTTGCTTTTGATCTTGCTTTTGATCTTGCTTTTGATCTTGCTTTTGATGTTGCTTTAGATCTTGCTTTAGATCTTGCTTTTGATCTTGCTTTTGATCTTGCTTTTGATCTTGCTTTTGATCTTGCTTTTGATCTTGCTTTTGATCTTGCTTTTGATCTTGCTTTTGATCTTGCTTTTGATCTTGCTTTTGATCTTGCTTTTGATCTTGCTTTTGATCTTGCTTTTGATCCTGCTTTTGATCTTGCTTTTGATCTTGCTTTTGATCTTGCTATGAACCTGAAACGCTCGCCGTTTCTCCATCGCGTTTTCTCCTCGGCCCTCATCCCTCCTGTCATTCGTCCCCCAGGCGTACAACCGCGAGGGGTACGCGGAGCTTAAGGAGTTCACGGACCGCGTGCCTCTTAAAGACGGCGACCAGTTCTGCGCCACGCTCATGCGCGAGGGCCCGCAGTACAAGAAGTTCGGTACGGATAGGGATAGGACGTTGCTTGGAAGCAAGCAACCACGCGATCACGCGATTGCACCTCGTTACGGAAGAGAGGAAGCGGGACTAGTTGGGGGGAGAGCCATGGGGCGGATGATGGTATAGGAGAAGAGAGTGGGGTAGGAGGGGCACGGTGATGAGGGTGGCACACGGAGGTCCGTGAAAGGGCTCCTACGCTACTACAAGAGGATGCGTAGCAAGGGGTCGTGATCTGTTGATTCCTGTCTGTAAAACTCGCTCTCTCGTCATGGTTCCTCGCATTCACCGAGCTCTCCGTCTCTCTCTCTCTCTCTCTCTCTCTCTTGCTCCCTTCCTCTCTCCTCTCTTCCTCTCTCCTCTCTCTCCTCTCTTCCTCTCTCCTCTCTTCCTCTCCCACTTCCCCTCTCGCATGGCCCACTGCTGTATGCTTTCCATGGGGTGCTGAACCAACCTTTGCGGGATCTTCCGAATAACCCATGGCGTGGCTCGGCTGCTGGCAGCCATGAGAATTCTCGAGGTATGTCACGCACCATAACCAGTAGGTGGTTAACCGCTTCTGTCCTGTACGTCTGGTTACTGAGGGGGAAAGACGTGTGTAATGGTGACGGAGGCCCGTGCGTCCGAAGAGTGTTTCCTTAATACCCCTTCGTAATTGTTTTGCACGGCAGGTTAGGCAAGCGTACGCGCAAGAGGACTTTGAATGGGAGAACCTGCGATCCGTGTCTCTCAAGGTAAGCACTGGATATGTGCCTTGCTGGCACTGTGTGGGACGATTGCGTGTTGGCATGATGCTGTGGTTGCATGGTGGCATGATGAAATGTGAACTGATGGCAATATGGAGTGGTAGTATGCATGCGTGGATGCCACCTGAAAAGAATATCAGGGGTGCTTGTGAGTGGAAACAGGGATATGGCCTTTGAGTAGCATCTGTGTCCCTCCTGGATGATCAGAGCTCCCATTCACCTGTTGTGTTTTCCAGGCATCCACTACCACGAAATATTGATTCTCTCTTTGTCACCTGCTGTCCCATCCATGCTTGTGCTACCAGCGAATGGAGGAGGGCAACAAGCAGTTGATGCGCGATTTTCTCATGGAGACCAGCCGATTTGACTAAACAGGACTCTAGTGCGCAAAGCAACATCATAACACCAGGGGTGGCATTCTGCTGGGACAACAGTTGCAGTCTCACCAGGTCAATATTATTTCGTAGTTTATAAGAACATTAGGCAGCTCCTGTATAGTCTTCAACTCCTTGTTCCACGCAGGCAGACGATGGCTAGCTTGGGCTCTTGCATCACAAGTTGATTAGTTACAGGAAGATGCAGTTAGTGTCACATTATGCTGTTTTACCTCCTTTTTGTACAGGTACATCAATGTTCTATCTTCCTGACTGACTGAATACACAGGTGGGGTAACAGTTTGGAACAACAACATATTTACAAATACCAGAACACCCCACAGAAACTTACTGCCATCCTTAACACTTAAGCCACAGAAAGCAGCAATGCAATCTCCGCAGCAACTCAGAACCATATGAACACCACAACAGCATCACACCCCTTCCTTGGCTGCCGCAAAAGCTGCAGCCGCTTCAGCCTCCCGTTGATCCAGCTTCCAGGCACGCACCACATCAGCAGCCTCCCTGTCACCCAGCAGCATATCCACCTCCACCTCATGTGCCGGCAGGTAGCAAGCAGACACCCCAACCGCCAGTGCCAGTTCCAGCAGCTTGTCTAAAGCCATCGACCTCAGCTCAGACCCAGCACCCAGCTTGTCAGCTGCAAGGAACTCTGAGACGCGGTCGGAGAGCATGGTGAGCAGAGTATCAACTTTGTTTAAGCCCTTGACCAGCTTGCCCGTGCTGTCAGAGAGGCTTCGTGCCGGGCCCTTCATCCTCTGCACGCCTTCCAGCACCTCTCCCTTGTCCCTGTAGATTGTGAGTGCATGTGCTGCCTTGGTGGCGTATATTTTGGATCCACCAGCACTCGCGCCAGCTGGTGCATCCAAAAGGGGGTACGAGAGAATAAGCATAAGAGAGCAAGGGAGTGAAATAGTTGGATAATGGCAGGGGGTGACAGGGAAATAATTATGCTGAACAAACGATCCACATAATAATCGCACGAAAATCTCACCTCCCACCACGGCTGCAACACCAGCACCAACACGAGCGCCAGAAATGGCAGCACCAGCGATGATGGCAGGTGCCTCGCACAGGAGAAGAGGGGCTCCAAGCACCACAAGAACCGCCCCGCCAATCCCAAGCCAGAGGCTGCGCTTGCTGTCCCGCTTCTCCTTCTGGTAAGAGCAACAACCAATTTGAAACAGGGAGGAAGGTAGGTAAGGGGGGATTTAGACAATGAAAGGAGAACACAAAGAGGAAGGGGTAGAGGAGGGGAGGGAGGGGGGGGGGGGGGGAGAAAGGAGGAGAAGGGGAATAAAACAGAAGGGGAAGTACACAGTCTCAGCATATGCATACTTGCCTTATCCAGCTCGACCATGACGTTAAGAGTTTCAGCCTCAGTGCTCTGAAGCTTTCGCGACGCCACGGCCACAGAGCCACCAGAGCCTGTTAACTGCCTTGACAAGTGCTTGCTTGTTGTGGAGACGGCTTTAACTCGTTCTTCAAGCTTTTCAATGCACGCCTTTATATCCGCCTGTGAGGGATTAGGTTCGGCTGCGTCGGCGAGAAGAACGGAATGGGAGTCAAAGGATAACAATGAGGCAAAGCGATCTTAAAACTTGAAAGAGCGGACAGCACGTGCATGCGTTTAACTCCTTGGCTCACAAAAAAAGAAAACGCTAAGCAGACTCTTACTGCAAAACTAGTAATAACAGTCACCTAAACAGCTCGACCTCTTTCCGTTACGGCTCGACCTGTTTCCGTCAACACACACATAAGAGTCAAGCCGTCATGGTTTGACTGACCGAAACGGAGGTCGGAGAGAGCAGCGAGCTGGAAAATCAGCGAGTTCAGCTCCGGCACGAAGACGTGGTCGAAAATCGCTGCTGACTCCGCCGTCCTCGCTACCGCCTGGCTGACACCAGGACAGGCCGCAACCGCCGACGGACTAGACACACACACGGCTTGTAGGTCCCGAGCGGGTTTAAGATAGTCGTTGAACGCGACGGATACGAAGCGGATTTTCTCCGGGAGTGCCTGCAGCTCCATGTCTTCTTTATTGCCATGAGCAAACACGATGCTGCTCTGACGCGGCTGCTCCTGCTGATGATGGGAAGCTATTACTCGTGGGAACGACTCATCTGCTGGCAAAAAAGGCTCCTCGGCTTCCAGCTTGGCCATTTCGCGGGTAACAATGAACGTTGCAGGAAACCTTCTAAAGCTAACCGGAATCTCCTTGGATAAACGCACTGCAGGGATTCTTCCCAGCCCAGCTATAAACACGACCGTAAAAACACAGGCAGGTGGGAGCGGAAGTAAGAAACGAGGTCGACTATTGACACACCTCAATAGTCGGCAAAGAGACGAGGTCGGGGGATGCTAGCGGCTAGGAGGAAAGATGCTAGCAGATAACAATAGCAGGGAAGGGAAGCACAGCGTGTGGAGTCAGTGATGTGATGTGTACGGCGAGTTTCGAAAATACGTGTTCGCAAATACCCTACTAAACCATTTCAAGACTCGAAACGACCACTCTAGATCGTGACAAGCCTCATTGATCTGCATTCAAACGAACTTTTGCGACACGCCGTCAGCTCGTTTGGTTTGCTTTGGGTTGAGTTGAGAGGGCCGAGGCAGCGTGCACAGCAAGGAAACACTCCGCCAATATGCAGGGCGCAGTGAACAATCGGCCGGTGCGCCGTTTCTTCCAGCGCGGGGACGTGCCCTGGAATACGCGCGAAGGAATGCGCCAGGCGTGCGCGGTGACGTGCGGGTAAAGGTCGACGTTACCGAGGCGAACTGGGGCCATGCGTGAGAGGGAGAGTCTGGTCTGGGTCGAGGGGGGTTGCCGCTGATGGGGGACGGGACACACGACGCGAAGCGACAGACAGATGGATCGGATGATGGGGATGGGATGGGGTCCTTCGATTGCGGAAACGCGTTATTGTGAAGGGAGAGTTGGATATCCCTGAAGTTCGTATCGAATAATATAATTTGCACAAAGCAATGCCAACTGCCCACTAGTGGCACCCTATGAATAGTCACTCCTACAGTGTTCAGTGATATGGATTTTTATGCTCCATTTCTTATCCTCGACGCATGCCAGGAATATCCACCTGGGAGTATTAATAGATTCTGTATGCCACCACCATCAGCTCACCCTCAGTAACCTCCGGGAGAAATCGGGATGTTCCCCACACTCCTTGGTGCACCAAGCGCTCGCATCCCCAACCTGTGAACAGCAGCGACACCGCCACCACCGCCACCACCACCATGAACCAACTCACTCCCATCCACACCCCGTCCCCCCGTTCCAGCCCCCATCCCTCCACCCACCACTCTCCTCTGCACGTGATTAGGCAGCAACATAGTATCCACTGACGACGTCCTAGCAAGTGGGCTTCGACCGGCCAGAGGCGAGGCCGAGATGGGCGTGTTCCCTCCTGAAGGGCTAGGAGATGCAGAGAACGGCCCAGAAGCAGTAGCACCCTCGCGGTGCCTACTCACACGCATCTGGTCTGGTGACTGCACCCCTACCCTCCGCACCCCCAACCCCCCACCGCTCAACAAGGGACTGCGACGCACTCCCCCTCCTCCTCCTCCTCCTCCTCCCATGCCCATCCCCACTCCCTCGCTTCCTCCCATCACTCCTCCCCCCCCTCTGCCCGTTCCTCCTCCGTACGCATCGTAATCATCACCAGTCAAGCACCCCGAACCCACCGCTGCGCCTCCTACTCCCAGCAACAGCTCCTCAGTAAGTGTGTGGTGACGCCGCCGCACCGGCTGCTGCCCCTGCTGCTGCCCCAGGTGGCCCACATGCCGTGCGCCAGGGAGGGGAGGGAGCAGGTTGGAGGAGGCAGCAACGTCTGTGTAGCTGTCTGTGACAACCGACAGTACTCCACCTCCTGACACCCCCACCCCCATGCCTGATGATGCGTAACCCCCACTGCTCTGACCCTCATCACTGCCGCTTCGACCAGCTGCTAGGTGCCCACTGCTGCCACCGCCCACCCCAAACCCACCTCCTCCTCCTGCTCCTCCTTCCCAAGCAGCAGACTCATGCGTAGCAGCTGCCCTGTCCACAGACCCCCCTTCCCCGTCCACATCATAAAGCACCACACCCTCCGCTCGCCCCCTCTCGCCCCTCTCCCCGAATCCCAGGCCCTGCTGAAAATCAGACGAAGTGCGGAACAACGGCTGTTGCCCTTCCCTGGGGAGATCCTCAGGTGAATCCAACAGAGCGCCTGGCCTCAGATTGCCTTGAATCCCACCGCCGCCACCACCGGCCGCACTCGGCATTCTCTGCGGGGAATCAAAAGGTCGAGGCATTCCCGCACTGCTGCCCAGAGCGGACGAGGAGTTGAAAGCCGCGCGCTGCCTTGCAGCACTGGAACTAGCAGAGCCGCCGGGACCTAAATCCGCAGACATAGTGCGAGTTAAAGACATCCCGGCTCCAGATCGGGCCACTAAAGTCGCCTCTGCGGATAGCATCCTCGGCACAGGTGCACGGCCAATCCCTGCTGTAGTACCACCCATGGCGCCCATACCCCTGAGCCCACCGTCCCCACTATCTTCCTGCCTCCAGCCTGCCACGTCAGCATCTCGGGCAGAAAAAGAACCTGTAGAGGCGGATGGTGGGAAGAAGTCAGTAGGAGGGGAGTAGGGCCGATAGGGCTGTCCGGAATGGGTGTGGCTTGGGGAGTCAGAGAGTAGCCTCCGGAGGGGAGGCATGGCTGCTGTGCCCATGTGACCACCACCACTGTTGGTAGCAGCCCCCCCGCCAGCAGCACCAGCACTGTTACTACCGCCATTACCACCGCCAACACTAAGGCTGACAGGAAAGCGCGGGCCATTACCAGAAGGGTAAACCGCATACGAGCCACTGTTGCTGTTGCTGCTGCTGCTGGCGCTGTTGCTGCTGCCAAAGGAGTTGCTGTGGCTGTGAGCAGCACTGGCAGAAGCAGAGGACGCGCTTGAAGCACTGAACCCCGCACCACCAGCACCAGCACCAGCACCAGCAGCAGCAGATGCAGTGTTGTTTCCAACAGACAGCCTGGATGCAGGGAAGGAGAGCGGCGGGTCAAAGTCACGGGAGCGCACGCGTGAGAGCGATGCGCTGTCCAGTGTGACTGTGCGCACAAACTGCGGCAGGGACTCTGCTACTGACCGGGCTGCAGCACCCCCTGCTCCCATCACCTTGCCTTGCACCCCACCGGCCTCCCCCCCTCCTCCTCCACCTCCTATGAACCCTGCTCTTGCGGCAGCAGCAGCACCGCCGCTACCACCACCACCGCTACCAGCAGCAGCAGCAGCAGTCAAAGACGATTGTCTGGGGGGCCTTGTGCCTCGATCCAAAGTGGCAACCCGCATGTACATATCTGAAGCAGTAGCAGCAGCAGATGCAGCAGCACCAGCAGAACCAACAGCAGCAAACTCATAAGGCGCGGGATCAAACGACCTAGATCGCTCAACATAAGACCCCAGATTCATCCCGCTGGCTCCACCTCCCAAACCTGGTCTGGAGGTTCGGCGAAAGCTGTTCAGGTCCGGATCTAAGGGACCCATGCTTCGCATCTTGTGCAGATTGCGGGATGGCAGGCTGTGGGGGGGTAGGCTGTTAGATGGCAGGCTGTGGGTGGGCAGGAAATGGGACAAGGCCTCCTGGCACGCACGTTCCTCCTCCTCCTCCTCCTCCTCCTGCTCCTGCTGCCGCAGCTGCTGCAGCTGCTGCGGCTGCCTCTGCTGCTCATGGCGATGGCGATCTTGGTGCGATTGCAGGGGTACTTGGGGCTGGGAGTGGTGGCGATGGTGGTGGGGGTGGTGGGGTTGCAGTGAGGTCTGAGAGGCGAGGCGGGAGGAGTGGTCGCCTCGAAGGACCTTCCACGGATCAAACTGCATCACAGTGAGGGGAACACGGGGAAAGGGGTGAGCTGAATTGCTACACGTGCAGCATCTGAGGCTACACTGATGGAGAGGGATGCGGTAGGGTGGGGTAGGGTAGGGTGTGGTGGAGTGCGGTGGGGTGGTGGTGGTACCTGGCAGTTCGGGCAGCAGAAGCTGCGGGTGAGGGGGTCCTCCTGAAGGCTATCCAGAGCGCACGTTTGACCGCACACACACCCAAACCACACCTCCTCCTCCGCTTCTTCCCCATACTGCTTCAGCCCACTCTGCTCTCGATGCACGCAATACAAGTGTGTGTATGGGCGGGGGAAAGGAGAGCACAAGGAGGGGAGGAAGGGGGGGCGGAAAGAGAAGGGGGGAAAGGGGGAGATGGGTGGGAGGAGGGTAAGGGTGAGTGAGGAGGGTTGGAGGAGGAGAGGTGTAGGTCTTGGTGGCAACGAGTATGACTGACTACACGGGTGAGAATGGACAGGTATCAATCCAGGCGAAAGACTTTTGAGTCGACTCAAAAGTCACCTGGAGAGGTGCAGGTCTTGGTGGCAACGAGTATGACTGACCACAATGGTGAGAATGGAGAGGTGTCAATCCAGGCGAAAGCATAGTGGGTGGAACTGGGACAGGGAAAGAGAGCGAGGCTTCAGGGATAGGACGCAGGGGATGATGGCAGGGGGGGGGAAGCGGCGGGGAGGAGCAGCGAGGAGGAAAAACTGGCAGTGGTGGTGCAATGAGAGCAGAGGGAAGGCGTGGGTGACTGACCTTGGCGGAGAGGCAGGAAGCGCAGTCCAGAAGCCCCTTGCTGAGACGCATGAAAATCACTTTTGAGAATTCATAAACGGGACTAACCTTGGCAGTGAGGCAGGAGGCGCAGTCCAACAGCCCCTTGCTCAGGCGCATGCCCACACAGGCAAAGTGCGAGCGGTGCCCGCACTCCCACGCTATCACCGGCGCCTCTCTGATCGCCAGCCCGCACGTGCTGCACCCCTCCCTGCGCGCCCCCTCCCCTTCCCGCTCCCCCTCCCCGTCCCCCTCCTCGTTTCCGCTCACGCCCCTGGAGGGACTACTGTTGGCGGCTACAGAGCCCCCCAGCCCACTGATTCTAGCGGGAGTATTGGCAGCAGCAGGGGGGGGGGCAGAGGGAGAGAGAGAAGGCAGGATTGCTTTTAGAGAATTCTCAAACACCAGCTCGTTTCCGCTCACGCCCCTGGAGGGGCTACTGTTGGCGGCTAGAGAGCCCCGGAGACCACTGGTTCTGGTAGGAGTATGGGAGATGCAGAGGGAGGGAAGGCGGGGTTGCTGCTGGTGCGGGAAGGGGGAGGGGGAGTGAGGGTGGCTGGGGTGGTGGACGTGCGAAGGTGGAGTGAGCGGCGGTGGGCACGGAGGGAGGGGAAGGGGGGTGTGTGGTGGGGTGGGGTTGTGTCGGCGAGCTACAAAGCGTGCATGGAAGGCACGGGGCGTGGGGAGGAGAGTGGGGAGGAGAGTGGGGAGGAGAGTGGGGAGGAGAGTGGGGAGGAGAGTGGGGAGGAGAGTGGGGAGGAGAGTGGGGAGGAGAGTGGGAAGGAGAGTGGGAAGGAGAGTGGGAAGGAGAGTGGGGAGGAGAGTGGGGAGGAGAGTGGGAAGGAGAGTGGGGAGGAGAGTGGGAAGGAGAGTGGGAAGGAGAGTGGGAAGGAGAGTGGGAAGGAGAGAGGGGAGGAGAGTGGGGAGGAGAGTGGGAAGGAGAGTGGGGAGGAGAGTGGGAAGGAGAGTGGGAAGGAGAGTGGGAAGGAGAGTGGGGAGGAGAGTGGGAAGGAGACATGCCTTGCCTCACAAGACAGCCGATATCTTGCACCGCATGCACCGCCGGCTGCTCTTTACTAGATTCTTTTCTTCGGCTTTTCTTCTAACTTTCACGTTCTCGGTTGTAACAAGGTAACAACACCCGTTCATTACAGGTCAGAGACTAGCTTAGTTCAGAAACAACTCATTTGTATCCCTCCTAACCCAAACCCCCCACTCATGTCGTGTCTCGGATCCGCATCACGTTAGCCCCACCATCTCCCGCCCCAGTTCCACCTCACCCCGTTATCTCGTTACACCCCCTACTCTTTTCCCCCTCGTTCTATTCGAACTCACCTTCGCCCTGCCGCTGTAGCCCCGCGGCTCGAACCACAAGACGCGGACCCGAGCGGAGACGCCCTTCCCCCGCTCACGCTCCCCGCGCCTCCGCTTCCCCCCCCGCTCCCGCTCCCCCTTCCGGACCCCCGTGATTCCGGCGACGACCCTCTGCTGTCCGCGTGCGAGTGCGACACGGCGCTGCGGGCGGGCGACGACCTGGCGGAAGAGGGCTTTAATCGACTCGCCCCGTGCGCAACTGCCGCGGCGCTGCTGCCGCCGGCCGCGCCACCACCAGCAGAAGCAGACCCGGCAGGAGGAGGCGCAGCAGCAGCAGCAGCAGACATAGCAGCAGACGTAGCAGCAAGGGGGTCGTCGGGAGGGATAGAGGCGAGGTCCGGGGCAATATGGGAGGCGACAAGCGCGAGCGGCACGTCGACTCGGCTGCGCACAGCGTCTACCCACAACCGCACGCTCTCGTCCGACACGCGCAGCACCTCGCCGAAGCACCACCGCGCCTTCATGCACCGCACCACCACCAAGTCCCCCGCCTCGTACGGACAGCTCCGCGCCTCTCCCCCGTGTTTCCCGCCGCCTGATCCCGCACCTCCGCGGCGGCGGCGGGCGCCGCCGCCGCTGCTGCTGCTGCTGTAATCGGTCGGGTAATCCGCGCCGCTGACCCCGCCGTAGTCGGCGTCGTAATCCGAGCCGGGATCTGCGCCGTAATCTGCGGCGGATTGAGCAGCTGGCCAATCATCGAGCGCGGTAGCAACGGTCGGATCTAGCGAGTTGTAACGACCCGGTCCGCGTATGCTATCTCCAAGGCTCCCCCCACCGCCAGCCCCGCGGCTGAGCCCTGCCTTCCCCGCCCCTCCCCCCCGCACTCTTCCGCCCGCGCCGTCGCGGAAAGGAAGTTCCGCCACCAGCTGAACGGGTCCGGATCTTGCCCCTTCGTCTGCGCCAGGGGTTGCGCGGAGCGAGCGGGAGTAGGCGGAGCGGTCGATGAGGGGAGGGGGGGCGTGGCGCAGGGTTCCGCCGGAGGGGAGAGAGGAGGCGGGGATGGTGGGGGAGGAGGAGCTGTAGCCTTCGTCGCTGTCCTCTGATTGGTCGATGAGGTCCATCATCAGTGGGTTGCGGCCACGTGTCCGAAACCCCATACGCTCGAGCACGGGGGATAGCGTGCGTGATGGAGAGAGGTAGCGACGTCAGGACGACGGGGGGTAGACTTGATTAAACAGATGGGTGGGGACGGGGGACGGGTGGGTTGACTCAAGCGCGAGAGAGAAAAAAAGAGCGTTGCGGTTTCGATCAACGGGGTCACCGCGGTGCGCGCAGGAGGGGAATGCGTATTAGCAGGCTGACGACGGTAAAGTCTACATACATAGAGCAGTGGCTGTGGCCTTGCAGCAGAATAAAATACAGATATTAAAAATCCCGCTAGCAATGGCGACCGGTATACACACGTGTCGATACACAGTGACGTGCGTGAAGAGGAAGCGTGAGCGGGATTTGGAGTAACAGGACTCGAGCCGCTTCAACGAGCGGAGCAAGAGTACGACTGCACTACAAATAAAAGCTCACGAGCTATAGTTGAATCCAAGCTCGCGGCACCGAATCAGCTGCTAGTGCTGCTCTTTGGGATCAAACAGCTACACCTGTCTTGACTCCCCTAGACTTTCCATTACCTAATTAAATGAATCAGACCAGGCATAACCAGTCTGTACATCACAAGCAACACCCTCCTCCAGCAACCAGTTCCAGGCAATAGTTGCCTTGAGTCCGACTGTACCCATCCACCCAACACCAACAAAATATCCGAACGAATCGAGTGAAACAAGCAGCCACTGGTGCCAGCCTGACGCAGCGAGAAATGCGATTCCAGATTTGACAACAGTGGCGAGACAAGACACGATGACTGATGACCCCATTGACACATCGGGCAGCAGCGAAACCTGCCCGCCTGACACTGGCAACCAGCAAGTTTGCGATGAAGCGCGCCAAACCTTCGTAACTTCCTATTGCAATAAGTACAGTCCAGTTTCACCCCTCTGGTTTTCAGCAATTCACAATCCAGGCATCGAAGCTGGTTCTGGGCGAGAGCGACCACTCTTGCCTTAAGGCGTGTAACCTTTTTCCGAACCGTCAAATGTCCGGACCAGCTCTCAAACCGTACGGACAGCGTCGGTTCGGAAGGTTTTGGACATTTGTCCGGACGAGTCCCGTACGGACCTCTATGGTAGAACTTTTTTTGTGGCGAAAACGTGAACTGTAAACGAAATCATAACGACTTGTTACGCAACATGATTTTTGGATTCGACCTCCAATGAAAGCGCACCAAAATGGGACGGTCCGAACTGCAACTGGACGCTGAACGGACGGAAATATCCGCCAGAAATGTCAAAAAGTGTCACATTCCGTCCGTACGCCTGCGACGTCGCCAAGAACCTCGCGAACAGCCATACGAACAGTGCCGAAAACAGTAATGACGTCTGTTGTCCGGATCATCCCGAGTACGGACCGTGGATCGAAAAATAGTTACACGCTCTTAGGGCTCCCAAGATTTGGGGGCTAGCTAGGCGGAGGGAAAAAAATGCGATGTGAATATTGCCAGCTTGTCGTCTTCTGCCCACTTCCGCTTCGTGCGACATTCTACACCCTCTTTCGCGCTACACTGTTGTTGGCTATATGGGCCATGTGGCTCAACGCGCCATAGGACGCGTTATAGTGGACTTTTGCACCAGTACGGTTTGACGTTGTTAGTTACTTTCGAAGACGGTCGTTTGAATGTTTGATATGGCTCGGTACGGTACCCAGGATAATGAAATTGCGAATTACTCGCCCCCTAGAGACGGTTATTGTAACAATTCCGAATATGTCCAAAGAACAGTTTCGCTGTAGCCAGTGAATCCCATTGCCAGTGTAGCGCAAAAAAGGGTGTATCAGAAGCCACACCAATTAGCATCATGCTGCCTAGCCGAAAGTTGTGGCTGAAACAAATGCCGAACATGCGCTACACTGTATGAAACTGCCGCCACGGTGGCTTCTTGTGCCCTCCTTGCGGCAGTGTTCTGTAATGTAATAGCGAACGGTTCATGCCACCCACTCGACATGAGTCAACAGATGGAGGTTATCGTTGTTCGATAAGAGCTGTACTCAAGGATGGTTGTGCTGTTCTTAGGTAGCAGTTAATCTAGTAGGGCTTATTAGACCAGTGGATATTTCCATGCCTAATATTTGTGCCGTTCACCCAGGAATTGCTTAGAAAAATGTCTTTACTGTATCAATTATAATAAAACAATGTGTTTCATTTGTTTTAGACTAATATAAGTAAACGAGACCAGAAATAATATGGGAAATTTGATATGATATCATTTTGAGAAAGGGACGTATTTTTTATTGACAATGCATTTATTACTAGAAATATTCTACTTATTGACCTGTGGCTTATACAAGGTAATTGCTGTCTCTTTGTATTACTCGTTTCTTAAACTAAAACCCCCCTTTTGTTAAATGTTAGAGTATGGGAGATGGAACTGTTTTTATGCACAATTATCACTACCTGATGAATTCGGAAGTATCTCGAACCCCAAAGTGCTTGTAACGAGAACCCGAAAGCGGGAATCCGACGAAGCCTGAAAAGGTCCGTCATCCGACGAATCAGCGAACTGGATCCAGCCTCGAACTGACATCCCAAAATTCTCCGATCTCCCTGCCGAAATCTCGGCGGTGCTCGCCAGCACTTTTGAAAACGAAAACGACGGGATCAGGAAGGTCAGTCACGCCTTCCTGATCCCGTCAGTTAGGGTTCGTTAAGCTCCGTCAGCCTGGTCAGCCCGTAAAATTCATGCCGAAGCTAGGATGTCGTCCGAGCCTAAAGCAATCTGCGGTGCCTGGCGAACGCTCTCATTTTTCTCAATTTTCGGAAGGAAACATGGCATTCGGAAATGGGGACGCGACTTCCTCCCCAGGCAAACGTCCCGTCTCATGCCATCCCGTGGCAATCCACCATTTCACGTGCACCGCCGTGGTTAGGCGATGTAATTGGCTGTCGGAGGAAGGTGGGGTGTGGGGTTCCATGCGGTTGTGAAGTTTCTCATGTCGGGGCTGGAAAGCTCGCGGGTGGCATTTCGCCCAAACCTTTTCGGAGGGTTCCGACCCCGCTTCCTGATGCCGTTGCCAGTCCAATGCCTTCCATTTTCTTCCAATCTCAAAGGTGCTGGCGAACACCGCCGTTACAACAGAGAGACTGGGAAAACCACAGATTACAAGACATGGTAGCAAGTTTTTGTGGTGCGGTCGCGGCAGGAAACAGATGGGGAGCACGTGAAGTGGAGTCGCGAATGTTTTTATAGTTGGAGGTAGGCGCATCCGATGCCAGGTTTCTCGGATGAATATCTCACCGAACGGCTCTTGAAACGTCTCTCATACGCTGCCGGAGCGCGGTTCTTGCGTTGACCAGGCTGCACGCACCGTTCGCATGAACGGGTCTTCCAGCCGTCCCGTGACCACCGTCAGATAGCCCCCAATCCGATCTCCCGTTTTACGAATCGATCTCGCCGATACGCTTTAAAGTGCTCCGAACGCCGATCCGTTCCACGCATCCTCGTCCGATCTACCAATATCCTTCCCTCGAAGCGCCATGCCGCCGGCTCGGTCCCGGGGGAGCGTGGAGCGGCGGAGAGCGCTAGAACAGCCGGACCTGCAGGTGCTTCCGCCGCACGTATGGGCGACGCTAGGCGGGCTGGGAGTGGCGGCGACGGTGGGTCTGTTCGGCGTGCTAGGGCTGATCACGGAGTGGGAGGTGCCTGGCCTGCCGCACTTGTTCGTCGGCATGCTCGTCTTCGCGCTCGTGCTCTACCTGCTCATGCTGCCCATCTCGTGGTCGCAGCTACCACGTAAGTGCTGCGCCTTCTCTCGCAAATTGGAGCGCACTACTTTTGGAGCGTTAATAAAGTGCTTGTCTTCGCGCTCGTGCTCTACCTGCTCATGCTGCCCATCTCGTGGTCGCAGCTACCGCGTGAGTGATCACTCATTTTCCCCTTCCCTCTTCCCCTCTTCCTTCCTCCCCTGCAACAAATGCCCTTGCTTCTGCTTATCTCCGTCCTCCTGTTTTCCATCTCGTTTGCGTCAACTCCTCTTCTCTGCGTAACCCCTTTCCTTCGTGAATCATCATACCTTTCACCCTCTGTTATTTTCCCCTTTTCTGCTGCACCCCACCCTTCCCGCCGCCCGTGTCTCTTTCCGCGCGGCCGCTCCCCCGGCCAGAGTCGTGGAAGGCGCGGTTTAAGTGGAGGGCGCGCGCGCGGCAGCAGCAGCAGGACATGGACCCGCCCCCCTGGTCGCTCACAGCCGCCGCCGTGTGCAGGTGAGGCAAGCCACGCCGTGCGTGCCGTAGATTGCCGTAGATTGCGTAGGTCGCCGTATATCGCTGTAGGTTGCTGAGTACAGGAGAGCAAACACGCTCGTGCTGTTCCGCGCCGTTCGGAGCACGCGCCAGAAGTACAGTCATTCCTGAAAAAAAAAACTTTCAGCGATAGAGTCTGCGTGATTATCACACATGAACGCTCAAGCTTGGCCTAAAGTCAGTCTGGTTTCCACCAGGAGCGGCGGATCACCCATGAGTTCACGCCACGGCGCCTCCTTCCCATTGCAGCTCCCCCCATCCCATCCCATCCCATCTCATCCCATCGCATCCCATCCCATCCCATCTCATCTCATCCCATCCCATCCCATCCCATCCGTTCCCGTTCTCGTTCCTCGCCGGCCAATCAGAGCGCTGCACGTGGTGCGCGACGTGGGGCTGCACAAGGAGGTGGCGCAGGCGCGGCTGGCGCGGCACGGCGTGAACGAGATCGAGTCGCTGCCCGTGGCCACCTTCCTCGCCTTCCTCATCCCCGCCGTCTACACCCCCACTAGAGTCAGTGCCCTCTCTCTCTCCCCCTTTCTTCCTTCCCCAACGATCCCTTTTCCATTGCCACGTCTCCCTTGCCCCCGCTCCCTTGCTGTTGCTGCTGCTGCTGCTGCTCGTGCGTTTCACAGCGTCATGCGCGCGGTCGGTGTATTCTGAGTCGACTCAAATCACCCCTCCTTCCCCCTCCCCATTCCCCTTCCTTTCCCCATTTCCCTTCCGCATTCCTTCATTCCTTCCTCAGCTGCTGCTGCTGCTGCTGCTACTCGTGCTCTTCACAGCGCTCTGCGCGTGGTCGGAGGCGCTAGTGGGAGTGGTCAAAGCAAACCTCCCGCCCCTTTCCCGTTCCCCTTCCCGCATCCCCCTTCTCCATTCCTTCTTCCACCCCCCCAGCTGCTGCTGCTGCTCCTCCTCGTGCTCTTCACAGCCCTCTGCTCGTGGTCGGAGGCGCTAGTGGGAGTGGCGTGCGCGCTGCTGCTGCTGCTGCTTGACACGTTCGCGGAGTGGCTGGGGCGCAGGGGGCTGGCGAGTGCGTGCCTGGCAGTGCCGCACGACGCGCTGGTCCTGAGAGATGGGGTTGCTGTCACGCTGCCCAGACGGCTGCTCGTGCCAGGGGATATCGTACTGCTGCGCCCCGGCATGGTGCGTGCATGGTGGAGGGGGGGTGGGAGGGGCTGGAGGGGGTGGAGGGGTGCTTGTGGGGGGGTGGACCGTGGAACAAGATAGGGGCCTGGTGACGGCGTGCCCAGAAGGATGCTCATGCCAGGGGATATCGTGCTCCTCATTCTTCACTCTCTCGCCTCTCCCTCTCCCCACTTCCCTCTCCCATTCCCCCATCCCCCTTTCCCCCATTTCCCTGTTCCCATCCCCTCTCCCCCAATTCCCCCCACCAGGAGGTACCAGCGGACGTGCGTCTACTGCACTGCAGCCTACTAGAGGCGACTTTTGAGTCGACTCAAAAAACGCCTTTCTCTCGATTTCCTCCTACCCCTCCCCCTGCGCCCCACCAGGAGGTACCAGCGGACGTGCGGCTACTGCACTGCAGCCTGCTCGAGATCGACGAGTCAGCCGTCTCCGGCGAGTGGGAGGCGGCGCCCTGCCCTAAAGACGCAGCAGCCATCATATCCGGTCGCACCACGGCCGTAGACTGCGCCAACATCGCCCTGGCCGGCACCATAGTCACCTGCGGGTACGGCTCGGGCGTTGTGTTCCGCACGGGGAAGAACACGGAGATCGGCAGGAAGATTGCAGCAGCGGCCAAGCACCACAGGAGCAGGCTGCTGGGCGGGGCCGGGGAGGTGTCCCCGCTGCTGTCGCTGCTGCGGGGTGCTGCGCGCTGGTCGACGCTCGCGGCGGTGGTTTTCACGCTGCTGGTGGCCGGGCTGGGTGTGTACCGGGCTGTTGACTGGCAGACGATTCTGCTAACGTCGCTCGCGTTCTTCTTCGCCGCGCTGCCCGAGAACCTGCCCGCGATCTTCTACTCTACGCTCGGCGCGGGGAGCCAGCGGCTCGTGCAAAACGAGATCTTTTTCAAGGAGCTCAGTGCGGTCGAGAACCTCTCATACGTGGATATAATCCTAACAGACAAATCGGGGTCCTTAACAGAAGAACGGCTGGACCTGCAGGGCCTACTGGTGGCATCGACAGCCATAGGCGTGGAGGAACTAGCAGTTGCCACTCGGGAGATGCCCAAGGGCGGGCCGTTAGCAGCAGAGGGAGGCATGGAGGCGCTAGGGAAGCTGCTAGAGGCGTGGGTGTTTATGTCCGATATGGGAGATGATTTGCTGGCCGAGAATCTAGGGGGGAGCGGTGGGGGGAGGGGGATGGGCGGAGCCGGCGCGCAAAGGGGTGGGGAGAAGGGCGAGGCGCTGGGTGGGCGTGGGAATGCGTCGGGAGGAGTGGGGGGGCAGGTGGGGGCGAGGGCAGGGGAAGGAGAGGAGAGTGGGAGCGTGGAGGGTGCGAAGGTGAATGGGAAAGCCGGGGGGTCAGGGGGTGCGGAAGAGAGTACAGATGCGGAGTTTCTAGCAGCCATAGCGAAAGAAGCCAAGGAAGCGGGCGCAGGTGACGTGAGTGTGGATGTGCGAGCAGGAGGCGAGGAGGAGCAGAGCGAATCGCTCCTCGAATCCGGCCGGAAAGCCGGCGACCCAACCCCGGACGTGGCCGCGCGAGGAGGCCACGTGGACGCTCTGGATTGGGCGATTCTGGGCGCGGTGGGCGGGCCGTCTGTGCTGACTAGCCTCCCGTATGAAGGGCTGGAAGGGGTGGAAGCGGAGGTGGCAGCAGCAACGGCAGCGACAGCAAGCACAACCACCAAGGGGCTGCGGCCGCTGCATGATCTGCTGCGGCGGTGCTATGAGGCGAAGGCGGCAGCGAGGAGGCTGACGGATACCCCGTATGAGTCGAGCCTCAAGTGTGCTGTCAGGACGTATGCAGATGTGCGCACCGTGGTGGGCGGCACAGGCGGCGTGGGGGTGACGAGAGGCAAGTCGGTGCAGAAGAAGCTGCTGGCGCTGGGGAAGAGGTGAGCGGCTGTGTGGCGGGTGGATGACGTGATCTCACATTGTGTTGCAGGTGTTCTTTGGGATTTCTCAAACAGCATGCTCAGGCGGCGTGGGGGTGAGTGACGAGAGGGAAGTGGGTACAGTAGGACTAACTGTTGGCGCTGGGGAAGAGGTGAGCAGCTATGTGGCGGCTTTCACATGACCATGTACTTACGTGTCCACTTCCCCATTGCCCATGCATCTCTCCTCCTGTGCCTGCGCCCTCTCCCGTCGCCCACACCTGCCTGACCTCTGCATCCATCTCCACCGCTTCCCCGTCCTGACCACCAGAGTGGCCGATGCAAGTGGGCAGCTGGGGGCGGAAGCACAGGCCAGCGCCGGCACCGGGAGTAGCGGCGGCAGCGGCAGTGGGTTGTGTGAGCTGCGGCAGCGGGTGTTTGTGCGGGGCCCACCAGAGGTGCTGCTGCAGCAGTGCGGCACCATTCTGCACCGCGGCGAACCGGCGTCCATCACGTCGTCCCGCGCCACCATCCAGGAGCAGATCAACGAGCTCACGGAACAAGGTGGGCGGGTTTGGTTGGGGGGTGAAGGGGTGGTGGAGGGTGGTGGAGGGTGGTGGGAGGGGGGCGAGTTCTGAGTGTAGTTACAAGCCATCCAGGAGCAGATCAACGAGCTCACAGAACAAGGTGGGGGGGAGGGGTGTGGAGGGGAAGAGAGAGGGGGGGGGGGGGGGGGAGTCATTGTCTCAAACCGTGATATGCTGCTTTCTCCCTGTCCTCCCCTCACCGTGCGTCCTTCCTCTCCCTGCTCCGCGCTCTCACCCCTGGCAGGCCTGGTGCTGGTAGCATACGCATCGGGAGACATGCTGGTGGACAGCCCGCGGGCATCTTCTCGCCCGGCCATCCTGGCATGCATCCACGACTGCACCTTTCTGGGGGTGGTGCTCGCAGCAGAGTCCCCCCGCCCCGGGGTGAACGACGCTGTGAGGAGCTGCCAGCAGGCCGGGGTGCGGCCGGTGGTGGTCACGGGGGACCATGTCGCCACTGCTGCTGCCTTGGCGAAGGCTGTTGGGCTCTGCAAGGGCGGACAGGTGAGAGCGGGGCCACTGGGGGTTGACTCGTTGGGGTGGTGCTCGCAGCAGAGTCCCCTCGCCCCGGGGTGAACGACGCTGCGAGGAGCTGCCAGCAGGCCGGGGTGCGGCCTGTGGTGGTCACAGGGGATCATGTGGCGACGGCTGCTGCTCTCGCCAAGACTGTTAGGCTCTGCAAGGGCGGACAGGTGAGAGCGGGGCCACGGGGGTGGTGGGTTTGATGTTTGAGAGGGGGGAGGTCAGGGGTTACCTGGTGGCATTTATTCTGGTTGCGTCTGGCAGTCCTGCTACCTTCTTTGGTGCACCCTCTACTGCTATCCGACCCGCCTCCCCTTACCACTCCCGCCTCCTCTCCTCCCCCCCCTCCCCCCCGCTCCTTCTTACCTTAACCAGCAGCAACCAGGGGCGGCAGCGGAGGTGGTGTCATGTGTGGAGAAGCCAGCAGCGCAGACACCACAGGAGGAGCTGAGTGCGCTGGTGCAGGCAACCTCTGTGTTCGCGCATGTGCGCTGTTACTGCTATCTGACTCCTCTCCCTTGACCCCTGCCCTTAGGCTTCCCCCCCCGATTCGACCTTTCCCACCCTCATCGTCATTTCATCCCCATTCACACTCATCCTCCTCCCCACCCCCCCTCCTCCCTTCACCAGCAGCAACCAGGGGCGGCATCGGAGGTGGCATCATGTGTGGAGAAGCCAGCAGCGCAGACGCCACAGGAGGAGCTGAGTGCGCTGGTGCAGGCCACCTCTGTGTTTGCGCGTGCCTCGCCCATCGACCGCCTCTGCATCCTCGAAGCCCTCCAGGCCAATGGCGCCTTTGTCGCCGCCTGTGGCACAGGTACGTGTGGGCAGGGGAGGGAGAGATATCCTTTGGGCAATTGTTCGCTTGCTGCAGTCCAAAATCTTCAAACCATATCCCTTGGGCCGTGTGTAAAGCGTGTGTGCAGGGCGTGTACAGTGAATGGAGGGTGTGGGAAGTGTTTGCGGGGTGTGTAAAACGTTTTCAGTGGTAGCAACACAGGTGCCCTTGGCTGAACCACCCCAGCAGACCAACAATGTTACTCCTCTTTCCTCTGTCTTCTCCACCCGGTCGAACCTGTCATAACCTTGATAAAACCCTCTCGCTGTGCCTGTGCCGATTCAGAAGATCCTCTCCTCTCCTCTCCCTCCCTTCCCACCCTTTCCGAGCAGGCATTGTGGATGCGCCTGTGGTGGCAGAGGCAGATGTGGGGCTGGCGGTGGGAGCAGCACCGGACGTGGTGAGGGATGCCGCAGCCGTGGTGGTACTAGACGGGTCCTTCGGTGCAGTGCGCTTCCTGCTGGAGGAGGGGCGAGCGCTGCTGCTCAACCTGCGCAAGGCCACTGCGCTCAGCCTCGGCACGCGCCTGGGGCTGGCTCTCCTCATGCTCACTGGCACGCTCTGGGTCAAGTGAGTGCTGATGCTGTTATCTGAGATGGTGGGTCCAGGTTTCCTCAATTGCTCTTGTGTTCCTGTGTTCCTCTCGTTCAGATCTGTGCAACCTCTTTCTCCTGTGCTCTCCTCGCCTCTCTCCTCTCTCCTCGTGGTCCTAACCCCCACATGCACATCCCCCTTGTCTCCCAACTCCCATTACCCCACAGCTACCCGCTACAGCCCGCGCAGATCATCATAGCAGCAGTGTTCCTCAATGCAGCATCCCTCTTCTCCTACACCATCGAGCTGCCAGACGCAGACACCATGCTGCACCCGCCCCGCCACCGCACCCAACCCTTCTTCGACGTTCCCCTCCTCTCCCTCTCTGCCGCTGCCACCATCGCCACGCTGACAGCTAGCCTGCTCGCCCTCGCGTTCTCCCTTCGCACGGCGCAGCAGGGCGACACACAGACGGTGGTGTTTGTTGCCTGGCTGCTCTCCTCCTGCCTCGTGGGTTTCCACATGCGCACCTTCTCCCAGCCGCTATTCAGCAAGGGCCTTGGATCCAACTCGCTTGTGCTGCTCTGGCTACTTGCGGTGGTGGTCTTCTGTGTGCTGCTTGGGGTGTTCCCGTGGCTTCAAAAGGCCGTGCAAGTCGTGAGCCTAACTCCCACAGATTGGGGCACCGTGGCGGCGATTGCTGTGATTGGCACGGTGTGGATCGACCTGTGCAAGCTTCTGGTGGCTAAGTCGAGAGAACATGGGTACGAGGTGCCTAGTATGCCTGTGCCTGTGGGGAGCCGGGGAGGGGGCGCACGTGGAGATGTGGGGGTGGCGTCGCTGCTGCCGTCTACAGCACTCAAGAGTGATGTTGAAATGACATGAGTTTTGGTGCGACGTTTTCAGACTGCTAGCTAGTGGATTGTAGACTGTAGTGTGGTGTGACGGCGGCCGGTTCTAGTACCCTGGTCTGCGAGACAACCGAATCTGCTGTGGCGATGCTGATTCATGTTTTGTAGGTTTGCTAGAGGCGCAATCGGATTACAGCTGTTGAAGACTCAGATCTACTGGTGTATGGTGGTGATGGGAGTGAGTAGGGCAAGTGAGTGTAGAGGTTGAATGAGAGTCGACGACATAGGTGAGAGAGCATGGGTCAGTGGTGACAGTGCAGCGTGAATGGTTGCGCATGCATGTATTTGCACTTGTGCACACAGGGGTGTGGGCAGTGTTCATTCATATGTGAACGTGAGTACCGAGTACACTGCAGTATCACTTTGTACGTGTAGTTTTCATATGCTCACCAGCAGGCCTCTAGATTGATAAAACGTGTTGGTTCATTTTCCATGAGCGGACCATACTACTGCACTCTGAAACAGTTGTTTCAGAAATGGTGTTTCATAGGAACCTCTTGCCGCAATTTACGATAAAAGCTGAAAGTAGGTAACATTTTTTTGAACGATGGAATGCTCTTGACATATTTTCGGATACGGTAAATGACTTGGGATGGCAATGAGGGCTGTATTAAATACTTGTGTTCCAGAATGCTTGTTATAACGCTTCGATAACTTAGGGTGCATTCCTGGTTGGTGGCAGGGCAACTGTTCACATCGAGTTGGTGGCAAGTGTACCCAAAAATTCAGTGGGCCGGAAAATGCGCTTGCCACCAACAGTTGCCCTGCCACCAACTCAGGAATGCACCCTTAGGTTGGTGAACCTGCTCGAACGAACCAGTTTCGGTGATAAGGGTACCAGAGGAGCCAGTAGATGACAGAAGATAATTTCCTTGGCCAAATCAACAACGAGTAACAGCAGAGGTGCGATGAAGGGAGCTTTCGCAATCTTCGCGCACTTTGCCCAGCCATTTGCCATAGACAGCCCAGAGCCAGAGAGTGGATCACCTCAACCTCCAGATCTGAACCGCAGCTGCTTGCTAAGATTCTTTATCCACGGCTGGGATTCACTTCGCTCCTAGTGGTAGGAACGAGAGCTTCGAATTCAAACCATTGGGCTTGCCGCGTTCCAAACTGACACAACGACTCTGCGGCTCCAGATGAGAGGGCAATCGACGGTTTCTAGGTCACGGAGTCCAACGTTCACCAGCGAAATCCCGCTACTCCCGCCTTTGTCAACGGAATCTCGCTGGAAAATAGTCGGTGTCGTTTGTCTGGCGTAGCCGCTGAGGTATCGGTGTCTTTTTCTTCCCTGACCGGCAAGGGGTTCATGTGCCACGCGGACGATTTTCAACCAGCCACCGATGTGGACTCTCGAATCTCCCTGTCATGGACAAAAAAAAGGCTGACCGGACCAACCACCGTCACTTTTCCTCGCGACCCAACACTGCCGGTTAGCCTGTAGACCAATACGGAGCTTGCTAGGCTTGCCGTGACGAAACACGCAGAAGGTCCGAATTTACGGCTGAGATCTGAGTTACCGAGAGAGTTCCAGACACTTCAGTGATTCTGGACGGTAGATCTGAAGAGTGTTGGTGTAAGGAGAGGAGAGGAGAGGCAGTTGGACCCCTCCGCCTCATTCCAGCGTCGTCTCTCGCCTCATTCTCGCCTGAGCCTCGGATTTCACAGCGCTTTCGCCTCTTGCTCTCATTTTTTCACGCTCAGCTTCTTCTGCTCGCTTTCTTAGAGCTGCTGCGACTGCGGAAAGGCGAGCCGCTAAGTTTAACGGGAAGAGGAAATCGCGTGTCGGGAAGAGGAAATGGCGTGTCGGAAAGAGGAGAACGCGTGTCGGAAAGAGGAGATCGCATGTCAGGAGAGGAAATGGCGTGTCGGAATAGGAAATCGCGCGTGAAGCCTGGAAACTTTGACTACGAAAGAACTAAGTGCGGGGATGGCGATTTTCGTATAGAAGGTACGTCTGAGTGCTAGTGCGTTTTTCCACGTATCACAGTCTCATTTAATGGTGTAGTATGCTTTCGTTTTAGCACACGCAAGGTTGTTCAGTGGCGCGTCTGACGTGACGACGACTGCATCCTGGTTGCATGTCGCAGGTTTGTTGGAGAGGCGACATGTCACATGAACCACCAACGCCACCACCAACAACATTTGCGATTTTGGATCGTGCGTGCAACTGGCAGCTCAGGTATTTCGCGAAACCACACCCATTCAAAACGACAATATCGCGAATCAATTTCCCGCATGTCGCACGTTCGCTTTTCCGCTTAGCGTTTCAATCTCGATTTCGTGCATACGTGTCGCGTTTCAAGTTCCCGTTTCAACTCTGCAATACTAGATCCCGACTTTCAGCTTCGCGATCTAATTTCGCAGATCGATTTCGTATCACAGTACGTCGTTTCGCGAGATGCTTCCCTGACGTACGTTTCCCGATCGATTTCACACATGGTTGACGCCGCGTCTGTCCACCCACTGCAGGCCACCGTCCGCCAGCCGTTCCCCCGCGGACGAGTGCCACGCTGGTGGGTGCCCTGAAGCAACTCGCGACTTGCGAATTAAGGCCCACCTGCCGTCCCACCCCAAGCTAAGTCCCTAACTCACCCACCCGCTGCCACTGCTCCTGCCTGGAACGCGGACTGCCTGAATCCTTGACTGCTTGAAACCTTGACTGCTTGAAACCTTGACTGCTTGAAACCTTGACTGCCTGAAACCTTGACTGCCTGAAACCTTGACTGCCTGAATCCTTGACTGCCGGAAACCTTGACTGCCTGAAACCTTGACTGCCTGAATCCTTGACTGCCTGAAACCTTGACTGCCTGAATTCTTGACTGCCTAAAATCTTGACTGCCTGAAACCTTGACTGCCTGAAACCTTGACTGCCTGAAACCTTGACTGCCTGAAACCTTGACTGCTTGAAACCTTGACTGCCAGAAACCTTGACTGCCTGAATTCTTGACTGCCTGACACCTTGACTGCCTAAAACCTTGTCTGCCTGAAACCTTGACTGCCTGACACCTTGACTGCCTGAAACCTTGGCTGCCTGACACCTTGACTGCCTGAAACCTTGACTGCCTGACACCTTGACTGCCTGAAACCTTGACTGCCTGAATCCTTGACTGCCGGAAACCTTGACTGCCTGAATCCTTGACTTCCTGAAACCTTGACTGCCTGAAACCTTGACTGCCTGACACCTCGACTGCCTGACACCTTGACTGCCTGAATCCTTGACTGCCGGAAAACTTGACTGCCTGAAAGCTTGACTGCAGGAGAACTTGACTTCCTGAAAGCTTGACTGCCTGAAACACAGAACGGAAGGCGACATAGAGCAGAGAAGCTGCAGCAGCCATGCTTCCAATCCTCCTCTCACCCTAAGTGGCCCGCCCTGCCCCTCTGCTTCTCGCTGCTCTCGTCCCTTCCTGCCCTCTGTCACACTCAAGAGACCTTCCTCCTCCAAGGTAGCAAGGTAGCAGGTACGTGCTCAGGTATTTGGTTTAGTGTGGTTCAGCTGGTATGAGGTCTCTGGGGTGTGCCACTGCAGCAGTCCCATTCATGCACGCATCGTTCTTGCGATTTCCTTCTTGCTTCGTTCTCACTTTAATTGCTCGCTTTTGCCACTTTCCTCACTGCCTTCCCCACTCCTCCTCTGCTCCCCAATCACACCCCTGTCCTCCGCTCGCCTGCCCTCCCCACAGTATCACTCCGCATGCAGCAGAGGAGGGAGCAGAGTGGCTATTCGTGTGCACACAGGCTGTGCCTGGTGGGAGGGTTGCTTAGCTGGAGTTGCAGCAGCAGAGGCGGGGAAGGTAGCAGAGGGATCACTACTGGAGGAGAAGGGAAGGGGAGTGAGGGATGAGGCAACAACCCTGTAGGCGGCTCTTCATCTGCCAGTTAAGTCACTCTCCCTCATATTCGTCCCTCACCTTTGCTTGCTGCGCATTGTTCATACTCCTTGCTTTCTCTTTGCCTCTGAAACTTTCGCCACTGGCTGGGGCCAGCTCACAAGCCACAGACTCCCCCCCTGACTTCAGGTAAGCCCCCAGGCTCAGGTTCAGGTTTAGCCTACAGCCCCCTCAGGTTCAGGTTCAGGTTCGGGTTATGTCTGTGCCTTGTGCTCCTGCCCCCTCCAGTGGCCAATCATATAACCCGCCCTGCCTGTGTGACTCGCACTTGTCAACTCTGCTAGCTGTCAACCCGCCCTTCCTCCCCTCGCTGCCCACTGACCAGCTCTGCGTGTGCCTTGCAGGTGGAGGGGAGGGGCGGGGGTCAACACCGACGCTCCCTCACGCCCCTCCCCTGTGGCCGTACAGGTACCCGTGGGGATGGGAGGGAGGCAGCACTGCCAGTCGCTGCCACAAGGGAGAGTATCGGGGTAGGCTTGGCCTCTCAAGGTACGTGAGCCTCTCTCTTGCCCTCAGCCCTCTCCCGTTCTGCTCTTCAATTTCGCGTTCGCGTTTTCCTCAGCTTTAGTTTGTTTTCTTGCTTGTCTTGCCAACTCACTTGCTCTTACTTCCCCCCTTTCTTCCCCCCTTACCAGGTCACTTGGCATCGAGTGAAGAGTGCAGCGGTGCTTCAGCTGCCCTCTGCTCGCTCTCACACAATCAGCTAAGTGTCCCTTCCTCCATGCCCTCGCCCTTGCTGCTTCCATTTCGTTTTTCGCGTCTGCTTTCGCACCCTCCCTCTTGAAACAGTGCCACTGGTTAAGTCCGCCTCACATGCCACAGACCCCCCAACTCCAGGTAACCCCTCAGGTGTAGATCAGGTGCAGGTAACCCCTTCAGGTGCAGCTACCTCTCAGGTTCACCCCTTGGGGTCTGTGCTTTGTGGCTTGGCCTCCACCAGTGGCCCCTCCCTGCTCTCGCCTTGCAAACTCTCTTCTCCCTCTTGCACTCTCACCCTTCCTCCCCTCACTGCCCACTGACCAGCTCTGCGTGTGCCTTGCAGGTGGAGGGGAGGGTCGGGGGTCAACACCGACGCTCCCTC